AACCCCACTCTTCATTCAAAATATCAGAAAACAGGAAGTAAGTGTGTAACAGATTCAAAAGAGGCACACAATATACAACTCATCCCCACAAAGCTTCAGATCAAATGAATGAATTCATTCTGTTCAATAATTTTAGAGAAAAATGTGACGAAAATATTTGTTGGACAAGCTAAAGGTGAATGCAAATTATATAGTGCCCAATCCTCAAAAAAATATAGTTCATATGTAATTCATGATACAAAAATCAAGTTCCAACAAATTCCAGTATTTTTTCAGTAAAACAATTTGAAAACCATTGGAAGAGGGATTTGTAAGTTATTGAACGGCATCGACATAAAGTGCCATTTTCCAATATATCAAGGACTGAAAATCATCAATATGAAACTTGACTTCCATTTTGTCATTAGTATCAACTTATTAAAATTTAAAAAGCATTGGTTTAACAGTTCATAAGTTATTGCAGGGAAACTGTTGGCAGCTGCCCGTCCACCCACCTGCTGTATTTCACCAAATTAATAGCTGGACTTTTCCTTCATAAAACCCAGTTAAAAACTAGGTACAGGACTTTCTAATGTGAAACTTAATACACTTCTCCATGTTGGTAGATAATGTTATAAAAGAAAATGTAACATTAGATTAATGTTCTAAGGTCTACATGACTTATTATAGTCTCTACCACCCCTTGAATCACTGTACACCATTAATGACAGATGTAGGCCTGTGTACATTTTAATTATGATTTATACATGCACAATTGATATCAGGACACATACAGATCACATGTCAGTCAAATGTCACAAAATTTAATTTGTAAATTTATCAGGGAAAATGTCTGAGATGTTTGACTTAAATATAGGTATGGGTCATATACCTACACTTCTATAGTTCATTTAAAGTTTATCAAAATATGTGTAAGTATCAACCTTGAAGCTTAAAGCAAGGACTAATAAAAGAATGGAAATATACTGAGGGGAAAGTAATAAGGAGGGGGAAAGAATGAAAGAGGATAGAGTAAACCAGAAAGGGAAGCAAAGTTGTACAATTTCAATTATATAATACCAGTACTTATAACCTAACAGTAAACAGGTGCTCATTCAATTAGTTCTGCACTTTATAGTCAATATGTAATGGCCATATATCTTGTGTAGCAAATAAAAGACTATTATAAAGAATACTTAAAATGAACATTAACTTGGTAAGACAATTAATTCAACAGGGAAAACCATAGAATATCGTAAGAAATTTTAAAAATAAATAAATATTATACTTGGAAACAATATCAATTCAAGGGAAAACCATAAAAAAATCATGAGGAATTCTTTTAAAAAAGTACATTTCTTAAGTTAAACTAAATGAGAAATATATGAAATCAAATTTTCTTATAAAATAAATTAAAAAGTCTTTGAATGTCACATCTTGTTTGGAAAAAGTTTTCAAATGGCGGGAGAAAGTCAAATATCTTGTTTTTTTAACAGAATTGTTATATAGATCAATCCTATTTGAAAAGTGATATCCTAAATGTATTAGGTTTGTGGTCAAGATTTCATAAGACCTACAATGTCAGACCTAGTTACAGAACGATTACCCCATGTCACATTCATGTCAAATAATGAAAACTATATACCACTTGTAATTATAATAATGAAGTATTTACAAAACTCTGATCAAATTTGCCACTTAATGGGTTTTAATTCTCAAGTCTCAGTGTGTCACATAAAGGCAGAAAATTTGTTCTTTCAATACTACAACTCTCTCATTACACTGTAAACAAAATATTTATCACCTCACAATTACATTTAATTACACACTAAAACCACTCTTTTTGTTATCGTTTACTTAGCGGGAACAAATTACCCATTTACAAATATTTGAGTTTTATTTTTCAATTTAACTTACAAATCAGCATTAAAATCTGAAATTGAACCACTAATTGAATCTTTTACTACCAATAAATGATTAAAATTTTACTAAATGAGTCATCCACTTCAGAAATACCCCTATACAGCATTTGAAAAGACTAAAATATATAATCCAAAATTATCCAAAGTGGGAAAGTCCACAAGACATACTGGTATTTCAGAAACACCTTTAATGTTCTCAAAATATGCTATTTTTAGTTCCAGATTTGTCACTAAAACATATCAAAATCATAACTCAATCAAAATGTACCAAAAATATTTTTTTTTCTTTCTCTTAAAATTTTCTTTCATAGATATTGGTAATAAAAAGTAAAAATATTTATAGCAACAGTAACCACCAACCATGACAGTTACTACATAGTGGTGCTCCCTTTAACCTAGTATAACTCTTCCCCAATAGCTTATGAGAGGTTAGTACCCCTTCAGTTGGTAGAAAGCTCAACTGCTATTTGATGCCCCAACTAAAACAATGATGGACAAAGTGATTCAATTAGTTTAGATTGTGTTTCTTGTTTGGGATAGTCATGATTGTTTTATGAGTCGTGAGTTAAGGAAGTATGTGGAACTTATCAGCTGCTTTAGTGGAGTAGTTAATCAGCTGCTTTAGTGGAGTAGTTCATCAGCTGCTCTAGTATACTGTACTATGTGGATTCATTTTTTTACGTGGATACCAATTTTCGTGGATTGAGGGAAAATCGCATTTTTTTAGATACTTGATTTCGTGGTTTTGCCAAATTCTGTATAAATGCCAATAGAAAATTTGTTTTTCGTTGAGCATTTAATTTCGTGGTTTACCTAGATACCAACAAAATCCACCAAAATTGGTATCCACTATCCAACGAATAATAATGAATCTACAGTAGTAGTTTAGATGATAGAATGCTGGTTCACATTGTGTCAAAGGGTCTGTGGTTTTATTCCTTAAAGTACAACGGTAAATTTTTGGAAGAAAATAGTGCTTTACTGTTACAGTTTAAACAGATCCATAGACACCTGTGAATTAACTTTACTTCATTCATCAATAAAAAAAAGAATGTTTCCATGGGACACAGATGCCCCCTCTTGTACATCATAAAACAGCAAATTTGCAATTTTTATATTTATAAAAGGACATAACTCGAGAACCGTGAAAGTCACGACACCAAAATTGGAACTTGATCTGTTTCCCTTTTCCCAATTGATTTCCATATAGCTGAGGACTAGAGAAATAACTACATGTTCATAGTACCTACTAAAACTTCCAAATAACCTTTTCTAAAGCTAACATTTGATATTCAACACATTCGAAATCTATCACATTCATAAAAGACTTGAAATAAGTCAATATTTCATACTTAGATATCAATTAAGTACCAATCTGCCTAAGAATCAGGCAGTGGTGAAAACATGACAAACAAAAACACACTCAACTTTACATTAATTTATGTTCAAAATGTATTATGGTGCATGAATATAACATACATTTCCTTTTCTTGTTCTGGAATTTCAAGATATAATTTGGTTGAAATGCACTAGAAACAAGAAATGATTGTAACAGGATGCTGTTACGAAGTCTCCCAAACGAAGCTCCCATAATTCGTAATTCCCAGGGTCGCCTGACATTGGGCAACAACCAGTGAAAATTGGTTTGGTCCAGTAAAGTTATATGCATTAGTGATGCCTGGGGACTAACCTTGTATATCATTCAAATCATCTTGGCATGACAAACCAGAATATATATGGTTTAGGGGTGGGGATCTTGACCACTTAGAAGATATTAGAACTTTCTTAAATGGCAGGGTGTGGGGGTGACCCCTGGGGACTAACCCTGTATAACATTTGATGTGCTTTATCATGACAAACCAGAATATATATGGTTTAGGGGTGGGGATCTCGACCATTTACAAGATATTAGAACTTTCTCAAATGGCAGGGGGTCGGGATGACCCCTGGGGACTAACCCTGTATATCATTCAAACCATCTTAGCATGACAAACCAGAATATATATGGTTTAGGGGTGGGGATCTTGACCACTTAGAAGATATTAGAACTTTCTTAAATGACAGGGGGTGGGGGTGACCCCTGGGGACTAACCCTGTATTTCATTTAATGGGCTTTATCATTTAGAACATTTTCAATTAAAAAGATTGTGTCTATCACAAACGGTTTTCAATTTATAATCATTTGAAAATTTTAAAAAATAAAATCCCATAGGGTTCTATAATCCCTCTTTTCTTTTTGCCCCTCAAAGTACCCCTTTATAAAACCCATTGCACAAACAATACCCTGATTGCACCACTAGACATGTTAGTCTAACATATTGTGAAACCCTAAGTTAATCTGACAAGCGGTTTTGGAGAACAGGTGCGGACAAGTTCAAATTTAAAAGCGGCGGAAGAAGAAGAAGAAGAAGAAGAAGAAGAAGAAGAAGAAGAAGAAGAAGAAGAAGAAGAAGAAGAAGAAGAAGAAGAAGAATAAGAACTGAGCAAAAACAATAAGTAAGTCTTAACAGTAATTAACAGTTAAGGGGAGCTAACTCCATAATTTGCTATTATTCTAACCAAAAGTTATCTAGAGATTTCTCGAATTACCAGTGGGTTTTTTTTCGGGCATGTTTTGATATTCTTCTAAATTGCCTGATTCTTACAAAGACTGGAACTTAAAATGATATCACTTTCAACAGAATTAAATATCAAAGACAAAGTCTATCAATTATTTATATAACAATCCTGTCTCATTTTAACCTATACACCAAATATGACAACATATTAATATCTATCTTTGCTAGCCAAGGGCTACAATCAAGAGGAGGGGACTAGATCCTGACCCTTGGCTATATGATGATTAATATCAAGTCAGACCATTTAAAAATTCTATTATTTATGATTAACAGGAGATGTCAACAATACAGCAACCTAACAACATGAAGAACCAAACTAAATCTGAAGGTCAAAAACTATTTACAACAATATACAATGTCAGGCTATAAATCGTCCAAAAAAGATGAGAATAAATGTAAGAGAGACTTTTTGCTTCTTCTACCTAACAAAACATTACTTAATTCACTTATCTTTAAAACTATAAATGCCCTTACGACTTACCCTGGACGGTTTTTATCATACATGGCACCTTCATCAGCATACTCATATGAACTTTCACCTCCATTCTGGTATTTCATTTGACTAGACAGGGGACCAGATTGATACTGCATCTGTAGCTGTAGACCATAGTTCTGCAGTTTCTGTTGCTGACCTTCACTTGATTTTGACCTTGCAACTTGTTGATGAACTTGTGACCTTGATCCATACATATAACAACCAGGTCCGTCTAGGTCCACAAATTTATGATCAGCAAAAACTTCACTGTGTGGTCTTGGTTGACGTCGTCTTGGGGAATCCCTCAGATTATCTCTTCTCATTTGTACTCTGTGTTGTGGGGTGAGGACATCATCGTCCAGGCTTGTCCAGTTTTTGTTCTTACCACTATGACCATTTTGTACACCGGTTTCTTTAGGTATGGCAGGTAAAGGACGGTTCACCAGGTTTGGATTCATCTGTTAATCACATACAAAACAACATTTTATAGTTTCTCCAAAGTTAAATTTATGCATTGTTCCTTAATTGAAATCTCAGAAATTTTTAGGACTGATAGGTGGAAAAAATATTTTGGCCATACCTTGCTGATTTAAAAATAAAATATCATTTTTAGAATATAAAGGACAGACATTGATTTTAACTACTAGTATATAACTTGTAACAAAGGTATATTTTATTTACACATTTTGTTCATATCAAAATGTTTGTACTAAAATTTTGTTTAGTAACTTGTTAGCTTTTGTTCCTCATTACAAAGACTGATGTAACTGCACAATGCATAATCCTGAGGTGGAATTTTTATTAAGTACAGCTATTTATAAGAACCAGGCAGAGTGTGATATATGAGAGTTTCAGATTTTTTTCTGAAAATTGCCTGGTAGAAGCAGTAAATGAATAATGCTCAAAAATTAAATTTGAGTGGGAAAATATGAGTGGTTGCCATGGTAACAGACACTCTATTTTTTGGTAGTTGGTCAATATAATAGGTATATATTAGGTTCAGATTGTTAAAAAACTTTTCCATCTTTTTTATAGTAGTACTACCTTTAGGAAATTCTTGAGCAATAATACATTCCTAAAATATATAAATGTTTCCCCTGAGTTGAGAACTCTCTTTGTTCCCTCAGCACTAATTATCTAAGATAAAATACAATCTAAGGCATAATCTTGTTTCATTGTTAGAAAAGTTAGTTACTGCATCTACATACAAGATTCAAAAGCTGGCATAGAAGTGTAAAATAAATTTTATTGCAGAAGATAAAAAGTGCCATAAATGATGTCTCAAACAAGAGGCTGTCAGAGTGACAGCAAACCGGATTTCCTGCAGAGGTCGAACTCTGAACAGTTGAGCAAGTAAGGACACTACATTTAGCTTAAAACAGCTCTGAATTTGGATTGTGATTGAATATTTGACACAGCGTAGGTTTGTGACACAAAATGAATGTGGTCAAAGAACTGAAAAATTTGAAAATGGACATTTCCCTATCATGGTCCAATATCCAAAATCTAATTACATTGTTAGAATCAGCATATCAAGAAACCCAAGAATTTAATTTTTGATGAAATAAAACAAAAGTTTAATTTAGGACCCTTTGGACCAATGTGGACCAATTTGATAAAGGAGCCCACAATCCAAAACCTCTAAATACATGGTTAGATTCAGCATTTCAAAGAACCCCATAAATTCAATCGACTGTTTGGCAGTCGCCCGCCTGCCCGCCCGCCATACATACCCAAATCAATAACCGATTTTTCCTTTGAAAATCCGGTTAATGAAATGAAATCACTCCAAACTTGTGGTGCATGTAATGATTTCAGTTCTTTTCAAATTTCAGACGTTTAGAAAGAAATTTGAAGTCCTAGAAATTAGCAACTTAATGCAGACTGGTTTAATACATTATTTATTAATTTGACTTAATATTTTGAACTTCCTGATGTCAGCAAATGTTTGCTTTATTAATATTCATTAAACTGAAATATCAATGTATAAATATCTTTCACAGGTTAATTATGCCATAAAGATTGTAATTTTAACATAAATGCACTTCCATGTTTGTTCAAATGTACAAACAATACACCTCCATTATGTCAAATATGTCACAAACATTATTAGATTTTATTTGTATCAAAAATACTTAAATTGACTCTGATATTACAGGTGAATTTTATTATTTTTAGTGTAATTAAATTAACTGCAAATGCTTTCTTAACAGAAACAGACTATTAAAACGAGTTTAAGCAAAACTTTGACAATATCATTACTATGAAGCTATGACACGGGTCTCAAGATATTAAATTGGCAAGTGGTAGAAAAACTGTTTTGTTCGTTTAAATTTGCTATTTCGAATGAGATAGGATATCAATCTTTAGCCCCAAATTTAGGCCTTTCTGGCTAATAACTTCCTTCTATTTATAAAAATAAGAAGATGTGGTATGATTGCCAATGAGAGAACTCTCCACCAGAGACCAAATGACATAGAAGATAACAGCTTTAGGTCACCGTACGACCTTTAACAATGAGCAAAACCCTTACTGCATAGTCAGCTATAAAAGGCCCCAAAATGACAAATGTAAAACAATTCCAAAGAGAAAACTAACAGTCTGATTTATCTACAAAACAATGAAAGAAATAAAAAATTAAAAATAAACAGCAACAAACGACAACCACTGAATTACAGGCTCTTGACTTGGGACAGGCACAAACAGAATGTAGCAGCGTTAAACACTGATGTGAGCGGGCACCTAACCCTCCCCCTATCCTGGGATAGTGGTGTATCAGTACAACATAAGAACTGTCCTCCTGAGTGGTTTCTGTACATGTGTGGAGAGGGTCTAAATTTAACAAGAAGACAAAAGTGTACCCCTGCCTGGCTACATCCCTAATCATTATATTTTCAAAATTGAAGTGTTTGTTTACTGCTTAGGAATGATACTCAGATTTTAACAATCCAAATAAGGCCTGTCTCTTTTTTAGACTTTTCTGACGATGTATGACACATAGTATTTACCCCCAGTCATTAAATGTAAATCTGACACAACCTATACATCTCCTAAATGTGGACATTGACAGGATACAAATGACCCAAATCTCTACCCTGTTATTAGAAAATACCAGACATCAAATGTTTCTGACACTACCATGTACTTATTATCAATAACAGTATATTTTTTTTCCTTTTGTTAGTACTGTAAGCTTTTTGAATTTTTCAGTCTTGTACATTTTCCCATTATAAGGTTTTGAAGCATAAAATTGTGTTTATTTTTTTGGTTCAGTCCTATTTCTATGAAAAGCCTGCAGTTTGGAAACCTGATGTGTCTCAAATAAAAAAGTCCATTTGATATGGATAAGCTTAACAACCAATCCACTCCATCCCCACTACCAAAGGAAAATTGCACTTAATAATTTGGGGTGTCAGAATAACCTTAAACCAAAATGTTTGAACCCCATTATTTGAAAGCCAAAAAATTATAATTACTTGAGGAGCTACATGACTAAAATGGACATAAAAGGAATATAAAATCTACCTCAGTAAGGTCAACTTAAATTTGCCCGTGGGAGTTCAATCTTTGAAGTTTCTTAATAATTTCTATTTTATCAACAGAGATTTTTGAAAGATTTTTTTATGTTATAAATAATGTCAGTACCAAAGCACTGACTACTGAATTGATGATACTCTCAGGGACTAGAAGTCCACCAGCAGTAACAACTCAGTACTACAAAACAAAAATAACACTTTCTATATTTGGTGCATAAGAACATGTGTATAAAATAAAATTGAGAATGGAAATAAGGAATGTGTCAAAGAGACAACAACCCGACCAAAGAGCAGAAAACAGTCCAAGGCCACCAATGGGTCTTCAACACATTGAGAAAATTCCACACACGGCCCTTAAACAAAAATGTGTACTAGTTCAGTGAAAATGGACGTCACGCTAAACTTCGAAACATACAATAGAACTAAAATTCAAAAAAAAAGCATACAAGACTAACAAAGGCAAGAGACTCCTGACTTAGGACAGGTGCAAAAAGGCGGCGGGGTTAAACATGTTTTGTGAGATCTCAACCCTCCCCCTATACCTCAAGCCAAAGTAGAATAAATAAACACACATCAATATGCACTCCCATATCTGTAACGAATATGGAAAAGTAATCTGCTTCATCCCTATTTCTATCTTTGATCATAAATAATTATTTATGTTTGTATTGTTGTTTGTTTTAAATATAAGACCAAAAACTCCTTTTTCCAAAGAATCATTCCTTTCAATTTGTGTTTTATTCCAATAAAAATGCCAGATTCAAAGGAATAGAAAACAATAAGATTTATTTATTTCGTCCATGATGATTCAAATATATTTTTGAAATTCACGAACCTTTATTAACATTTTTTTAAATCTACATTTCACAGAAGCCAAAGAATGCCTTAATGTCAAACTTGTTTGATAAAATTAATTTCTTTTTAAGCCATTAGATTGAGTAAATGAGACCTTTAAGTGATGGTAAATGGCCCTGAACTAAACATATGGCTATAACAGTACCACAAAGGCAGGACTTTAAACAGTAGGTATGGGGATATATAATGTAGAATGTCAAAGATATGTTGTGATAACAACTAGTTATAGATCACTTTTTAATTCCATTTCAGTAATATGGCCATTAGCTAAAATTAAATAGTTCTAAATGTAGATCAGAGGAAACAAATAAAAGTCTGGCTCATAGGAACAATGATTGAAGATTTGAAAAAAAAATCTATAGCTTCTTTGAAATGGCATCTTTCATGATATACAAAATGTCATGCATGTTCAGAACTTCAGGTGCACCTCCCCAGTCAGGAACCCAGACAGTGGATGTTAATATTTGTTATATCTTAATTGTTTCGCCTTTCAGAGAAATAGGTGTAAAGATGGTGGATATCCGTCAGACTCTATTTAATTCGATCCAAACTTGGAGCTTGACATATTATACAGACTTCTGACTATTGACATTTATTGTTTTGAGTGTCATCGGGTTGCTGTCTCAATACAGTATACATCAAATCTCCTTTTATACATCTACAGATGTCATAATTGAGTTATCCAGCATTGTTTTGGATCAGTTTCAAATGACAATCTCCTATTGTAGACATGACAATCTCCTATTGTAGACATATTAATTTATACATTCTTTTTAAATATATTACAAACAAGAAAAGAGTGGGAGTTGTAATAAGCTAATTATAAGCCATTGACATGTAATTTTCTATATTGACTTTTTATAAGAGGTAACAAATAGTTACAAAACCTTTCAGAATAGAGACAGAGAGACATTATTTAAAACAACTTTTTATCCAAAAAAAAAGAGAAAACTCATTACTTGATTAGCTTTATTCAAAATCTTATTTTCTTATTGATTAAGTTCAGAAAATAAGGGGGGTATAAAAACCCATATATATAAATGTATATTACAGAATTGCAACATTTGTTGTTTTTTTTCATTTCATTCTTTTTGAATACATCAGTTGTTTGATATGAAATATCATTGTGCAATTTAGTCTCAAATGGTATGATATGTTTTTGTTGATTAGAACTATATTCCACACTCCCGCACCAGAGTCTTTCTCATAATCGAAAGAAGAAGAATCTTATTCAGAACAAAAAATTTATCTGAAAAAGAGATAACCATATTATTTCTTCTTTTTAATTCAACATTGCAGAAAATTTAAATCTTTTCCCAGAGGGCAATTGGAGTTATCTCCCATATTACAATATAGGGTATATTTAAATTACAAACAACTTCTGCAGGAAAATAACTCAACATGTTCCAGAATATGTCAATTATTACACTAGAAACAACAACTTTAAAGAAAAACAGTGAGGGATACAGTTTTTAAAATATGACCTGGCAGTTTATCTTTTGAAGTCAGAATGGTGACCTTTAGAGAGTAATTTCTATCTAACATTTTTCTGTTGCTATCTCATTTATGTTTAGCACATCAAAGGGGTGTAAAACCGTTACTCGTGCCCATATTTATTTTTATGAGGTGCTTCCTTTTAAAAAATGTACCAAATGTGCTTTAGATATATTTTACACCCCAAGAAAATTATGAAAAGAATCATTCAATTCTTAAATTAAACTACATTCCTGAACATGTAGACCACAGGAAAAATTGTATTTTTCCTCTATCTGCGAAAATAAATGATTCCACAGTATTTTTGAAAAGTCTTTTACTATATATATGCTGAGCATCTTGACATAAGGCTAAAAATCAATCTTTGGGATATTACAGGACTTTTAATTGAAGAGAGTTTTCAATGTGAGAAAATGTCTATATCAATATGCTTTCATACAAGTGAGAGGTTGGTTACATTACATTTGGTTTTATTTTCCATTCTTTCTTGGAAAGATCATATACAAAGTCAGAAATATAAGATATGTTAATTGTTTGTTCAAATAGATGATATGCTGTGTTTTCCTGTTATTGTCAATGATTTGGGGATTTCTAAATAAATTTCAAATCAAGTGTTTGTTAAATGATTGATAAATGCAGTGTCTGCACAAAATGGCAATGTCTCATATTTTACTGCATGTCATAAATAATAACCAACACATATGTATAAATATTTTCAAAGGCTACATGAATATGGTTAGAATATTACTTCTCTATTAATTACCTTATCTTCTTCTTTACTGTTCTTTGGTTGTAGATAACCATTAGGATCCTGGATACAGATTCCATGTGATTGGGCAATGTCACGGGCAATAGCATGACCGTCATTTAAAAATCCACGATCAATGGCTTCCTTTAGAGCTGTCACCGGTGAACCTTTTCCTTTATTGGAATTGTTTGATTGGTCAAACCGTAACTGAGCTAATGAATCCACTGGCGAATTACGTGAGTTGGCAGTCTGAGATCGTGAGGAAGTACTTACATTATCGTATGAACTACGAACAGATCCTGTGGATCTTGTCGGAGAATTTCTCCTTGGTGAGCATACTCTCTTGTGAACTGGTGAGCTTTTCATAGTTCGTTCACTCTGACCATTTGATACTCTCCCCGGTGAACAGATCCTTTGATGGGGTGGTGACCTGGAATTATTTGAGTTCGCGTATGAGCTCCTTTTACTTGATGTTGTACTTTGATGTATAGGTGACGTCTGTGGTGTACCCTTATGTTTTGGTCCACTTTGATCAATATATCGTGAATTATTTGGGTAAGCCTCAGACTGAGGCCTTCCAGTTGGTGTTGAATTGATAAATGCGTCTGACTGAGGCCTTCCAGTTGGTGTTGAATTTATATATGCTTCCGACTGAGGTCTTCCGGTTGGTGTAGAATTAACAAAAACTTCGGACTGAGGCCTCGACAAGTGTGATGATGGTGCATCTGAGAGTGGCCTTGGTGGTGGTGATGTGGTGGGTGCTGGGCATGATTGTTGACCCTGGGGATTATCTAATCCAGGGGTTCTATGCTTTACTCTGTCAACTTGGTGTTTGGCCTATAAAATGATAGGAAAGTGATGTCAAAGGAAGGTATTTAAACAAAATAAACAAAACAGCAATATTTCCACAAGAAAGCAACATTAGCATGCAAAGGTTTGGAATAAATAAAGTCACATGGTGATTTTTGGCAAAAATGGCATGTAACGTGTTCACCTCCACTAATGGGCACATAGTGATAGTAAACAACACATAGAGCAAATTATAAAACTCCTGCATGTTCTATGCTGGGTACCAATACTTTAAATAAATAAAGATAATTTTTAAAATTATATAAAGGCCTTTTTCCTTGTCATTAATATCAACATTTTCAAAGCAACACAATACCTGATCATCAAAGCAATGTTGGTCAACTATATCAAGTTATCAACTAAATTAATATAATTTTATAATCATCTTTGAGCATTCACTCACCATGCATATAAAGGTTAGCTGTAGATATTTGTTTAGAAATAAATACATAATGCAAACATTGGTAAAATGGTTATTACATACAGCATTCAGTAGTTCAGAATTGGAGATATTTATACATGGGGTTAAAGATATCACACAGTTGCAGATCAGGAAATGTATGTAGATACTTGTTACAAAAAGAGAGCTTCTAAAGAACATCCATGATTCATGCTGACAACTTTTCTGATATCTAAAGTTTTTTCCTAATTAAAGGTAATTTAGTTTGCAGTTTCCACAAAAGATAAGTTGAAGCACTGACTGAATTCACTAATAAAGACGGCATCTGTATAATTGAATTAACCAGAGATTTGATGACAACGTGAGCTATGTAAATCTTGAAAATAATCTTTCTTCTTTGATTGATATTTGATTAGAATATAAGCTACCAGTATATAACTTCTCATTTCTCTACCTATTTCAGTGGCTCAATCCTACCACTCTTTACATAGTAAGTATTCCCCCTGGAGGTTTGATTAGAATATAAGCAACCAGTATATAACTTCTCATTTCTCTACCTATTCCAGTGGCTCAATCCTACCACTCTTTACATAGTAAGTATTCCCCCTGGAGGTTTGATTAGAATATAAACAACCAGTATATAACTTCTCATTTCTCTACCTATTCTAGTGGCTCAATCCTACCACTCTTTACACAGTAAGTATTCCCCCTGGAGGTTTGATTAGAATATAAGCAACCAGTATATAACTTCTCATTTCTCTACCTATTCCAGTGGCTCAATCCTACCACTCTTTACATAGTGAGTGTTCCCCCTGGAGGTTTGATTAGAATATAAGCAACCAGTATATAACTTCTCATTTCTCTACCTATTCCAGTGGCTCATCCCTACCACTCTTTACATAGTAAGTGTTCCCCCTGGAGGTTTGATTAGAATATAAGCAACCAGTATATAGCTTCTTATTTCTCTACCTATTCCAGTGGCTCATCCCTACCACTCTTTACATAGTAAGTGTTCCCCCTGGAGGTTTGATTAGAATATAAACAACCAGTATATAACTTCTCATTTCTCTACCTATTACAGTGGCTCATCCCTACCACTCTTTACATAGTAAGTGTTCCCCCTGGTGGTTTGATTAGAATATAAACAACCAGTATATAACTTCTCATTTCTCTACCTATTCCAGTGGCTCATCCCTACCACTCTTTACATAGTAAGTGTTCCCCATGGTGGTTTGATTAGAATATAAACAACCAGTATATAACTTCTCATTTCTCTACCTATTCCAGTGGCTCATCCCTACCACTCTTTACATAGTAAGTGTTCCCCCTGGTGGTTTGATTAGAATATAAGCAACCAGTATATAACTTTTCATTTCTCTACCTATTCCAGTGGCTCATCCCTACCACTCTTTACATAGTAAGTGTTCCCCCTGGAGGTTTGATTAGAATATAAACAACCAGTATATAACTTCTCATTTCTCTACCTATTCCAGTGGCTCAATCCTACCACTCATTACATAGTAAGTGTTCCCCCTGGAGGTTTGATTAGAATATAAGCAACCAGTATATAACTTCTCATTTCTCTACCTATTCCAGTGGCTCAATCCTACCACTCTTTACATAGTAAGTGTTCCCCCTGGAGGTTTGATTAGAATATAAACAACCAGTATATAACTTCTCATTTCTCTACCTATTCCAGTGCACTGAAAATTTAAATTAGTCACTATGACTATTCATTTAGTCAAATATTAGCCGAAAGGTAGTCAACAGCATATATGACTACCCATCAAGTCATTGTGACTACCTGCACGGTCAATTTGACTATGTTAGTGGTCACAGCACCACGTGGTGTAGAGTATCAGTTTTCACGCGCACCCTTTCGCGTTCCCTTTGTTCTCTAGATCGTGTAGATGTAAACAAACAAGGAGGCATGAAACTGTCATTTTGTCAATTAAACCAATTGTTTAAAGTAAGTATTATGTATATTTGTTTAAATTATAACTTACAAAAATTAGATTTAAGAAAAAGTGTAATGAATGTAAAATCGGCACATGTTGACGTAATGACAATAAAAAAGGGGGAGATATGTATACGGGATATCAATTCTGATACACATACAACGTATTGTCGATTGAAAAGAGTATTTAGCGATATCTTTTTTTCACCTGACCAAAAACTGTTGAAAATAAATTTAACACTGCAATCGATATTCACAACAAAAATTAAAAAAAACCTCAGGTTGGCTGTCAAGATCCTGGTGCTTACATTACAATGCTGTAATATAGGATGGGTGGATGTCAAGATCCTGGTGCTTACATTACAATGTTGTGTTATAAGATGGGTGGCTGTCAAGATCCTGGTGCTTACATTACAATGTTGTGTTATAAGATGGGTGGCTGTCAAGATCCTGGTGCTTACATCACAATGTTGTGGTAGAAGATGGGTGGCTGTCAAGATCCCGGTGCTTACATTACAATGTTGTGGTATAAGATGGGTGGCTGTCAAGATCCCGGTGCTTACATTACAATGTTGTGGTATAAGATGGGTGGCTGTCAAGATCCCGGTGCTTACATTACAATGTTGTGGTATAAGATGGGTGGCTGTCAAGATCCTGGTGCTTACATTACAATGTTGTGGTATAAGATGGTTGGCTGTCAAGATCCCGGTGCTTACATTACAAAATAATAGTATAAGATGAGTGACTAAATCACTAGATCAACGATTTTAAAATTTGTTTTATTCTTTTAACTTTTAACATGACTGATATACTTGTTTATTGTAATATTTTAGCTTTTAAAATGAAATAATTTTATTTTTCAGCAAATGAAGACATTGCTATATTTGTATGAACACAGCTGAGAGATTTTTTACCAGAGAGAATATTACACTGACACATGCAGAGTTGATACCGACAAAATATCTAAAATAAACACTTCAAATTCTGACATACTGAAAATGTATAAAATATATATTGAAGTTGGGATATAATAATGTATGTAACAATGAGTTTATAATAAATATATTTTCTTTATTTGATTTTTAGACTTTAATATATGTCACTGAGTAATGGTTACACATGGAAACTTAAGATATAGGAAGGTTTTGAACATTGAGCACTTTGTGGTCCTATACTGTTGTCATTGTTAGTATTGCTGCTGTGGTATTTTTAATGATATTATATTCCAAATGTATTTGTCAATCCTATGGAAGAGAAACAACATAAAGTAGAATAACAGAAGAAATGAAACATAAAAGTACAAAACGGATGGAAACACACACAAAGTAAAATGGTAGAACAAAAAACACAACACAAATTAAAATAACAGTCTAACAGTCGTGACTATTCACAGTAATCATGTTGACTAACCAACATGGTCATTTTCGACCATTTCAATAAGTCATATGGACTGCATTCAATTGTCAAACTGACAAATGTGCATAGTCAATTGAACAATCCAATTCGTCATAACGAGTATAACATATAGTCATTTTGACTTCCTAACATAGTCATAGATACCAGCCTACTCAGTCAAATGTGACTAACCATCTAGTCAAACGACTAAGAGCATAGTCAAAATGATTAAAATGCATTGTCATCTAGAGGACAGTCAAAATGACCAATTAAATTGGTCAAATTGACTAATTTAGGTTTTCAGTGTGGCTCAATCCTACCAGTCTTTACATAGTAAGTGTTCCCCCTGGAGGTTTGATTAGAATATAAGCAACCAGTATATAACTTCTCATTTCTCTACCTATTCCAGTGGCTCAATCCTACCACTCTTTACATAGTAAGTGTTCCCCCTGGAGGTTTGATTAGAATATAAACAACCAGTATATAACTTCTCATTTCTCTACCTATTCCAGTGGCTCATCCCTACCACTCTTTACATAGTAAGTGTTCCCCCTGGAGGTTTGATTAGAATATAAGCAACCAGTATATAACTTCTCATTTCTCTACCTATTCCAGTGGCTCATCCCTACCACTCTTTACATAGTAAGTGTTCCCCCTGGAGGTTTGATCATAATATAAGCAACCAGTATATAACTTCTCATTTCTCTACCTATTCCAGTGGCTCAATCCTACCACTCTTTACATAGTAAGTGTTCCCCCTGGAGGTTTGATTAGAATATAAGCAACCAGTATATAACTTCTCTTTATTCTACCTATTTCAGTGGCTCCTCCCTACCACTCTTTACATAGTAAGTGTTCCCCCTGAGGTTTGATTAGAATATAAGCAACCAGTACATAACCTCTCATTTCAGTTCAATACCATGCATTTTTTTCAGGCAAGCATTTATAAAAGCAACAGCTCTTTTCACCAAAAATCTTACAAGTAAAATTTTTCATTTTTTTTTTCATAAATCATATTGCTGAAAGACACTTTGTGTCACAAATCATAATACAAGATTTATAAAATCCCTTAAAAAAAAGCTTTCTGAATTGATTGGCCAGATTTTATAAACAAAAAAGAAGTAAAAAAGCCAAAACTAGTGACCAGAAAAACTTCTATTATAAATCTTCTATAACCACCACTAGCAAGATCAAAGTACATTTGTCAATGTTTCCTTTATAAACTTAAAACTTCATACCACCTTGTATTCTTTTTTTTGTCTCATAAGTTTCAACTGATGAAAACTTTCAGGACTACATAGAATGTTGATTTGATACTATAAAATATAGTTTATGCAATCTCTAAGAAAGATGACTGTAATTTTTCATTTGTTATTAGTTGATTTGTTTTCTGTAATTATGGACACATTAAGTCAGGATTAGAACAGTTGTTTTCCATTAGATTAATTAGTTGATAAAGTCCAACATTTCATTTTGTTAGTTTTTATGGACTTCCCCTTTTGATTTACCTTTGAGTTTGGTATTTTTGATATTCTTTTTTGTATTATGTTTGCTGAAATAACCTTGGAATTCTGAACATTTCTTATTCTGAAAGAAACTGGAACTGTCTTGGTGGTTTTGTGATAGCATGTTGGCCTCACAGGCAGGAGAACTTGGTTTTGATCCATGGCTTGGCCAAACCAAAGACCTTAAAATTGGTATTCGTTGCTTCTCTGCTAAGCACACTGCATTTAGTTGTAGCAGATGGGTCGGCTCGGAGTCAGAATATTGTGGAATGTTACCTTGTGATCTAGCATGATTAAAATCCAGCTAAGCATGTGGGTCCAGTACACAGCAAGGTTCATGTTCTAAACCTGATATGCATGTATATTTGCCAATGGATGTTAAACACCTATCCATCATTTTCTATCCACAACTTGGATAACTATCAGTTCAATTGGAAAATCCTTCATTTGTTGGTAATGTGAAACTACTTTAGATAGTCTCATGGTTCATTTCTGATAATTATTCCATATTTGCTTATACTTAATAACCTTATATGTAGGCATCTTCAAGGTGATGAATATTGTATTATGACTGAATAATATCTATCATTTTGTTTTATAACAAATAGAATGATATTCAATTGCTTTAACTTTTTAGATTTGTCTGATTTCAATTTAACTTTCAAATTTAGGCAACCTTATGTTCATGTGGTTGGGAAATAAGAATTTGGCAACTTTCTGTATATTAAAAAGGCTTCTTTCAGAAAACTCAACTATTATTCATCATGCATCAAAAACTTGTTCATCAGTTTGATTTTTCCCATCTACTGACATGACTGAAAGATTATAGAATAGATATATTTGTTTATTATTGTCACAGAGACAAATTGGTTGCTATTTTTGGAAAGATGTTGTGCTGAGTCAGAAGAGGAGATATAGCGTTATTAGTTAAGCATTATACAGCAGACATATTTAGTATTCTGATTCTACCTGCATTGAAAATCTTTAATAGAATCATTTTCAAAAGTTGGGTCATGCCTCTCCCAAGGTAAATAATCCATAAATTAGAATACAGCAAACCATGCTACTATGGGCTAGAAAAGCTAAAATATACTTTATCAGCCTTGGAAGTTCTTAATCAAGAATAAATAAACCATTAAATTTAAAAAAAAAAAAAAAAGCAGAGGCAACAGATTTAAACTTTACAAAAAGTAAATTCATGTTAATCACTCATATGAAGGCAGTTTCACAAGTTAAATGCTAAAAGTCTAGAGTTAGGTCCCATATTTGAAAACTAATACCCTATTTCGAAAAATAACCTAGGTGCACTCTACTAAATAAGTTATTTAAAACTCTACAAATCACCATGATCTTAAATGGAAACTTTTTATTGTACAATAGGACCAGAATACTATTATATATATAATACCTGTGTAGGGTACTGGTTCGTGGTAGACTGTAAATTAAGCAGGATAATCAATTATATTATATCTGCTAAAAATATCTTATACAGAATATTTCCCTCAACTTCTACATGGCAAAGTTTGTTATAAAAAAGAAAATGTTCCAAGGGAGATAATCCAAATCATAAAAACAACATTGGTAATTTTTTATTTAAAAGCCATTAATGTTCCCAAATTTTACTGTTTTCTCAATTTTTTAAATCAATTTTTATGTTTTGAATTATTTACTTATATATTTTTTCATAGGTCGCGGGTAAACCAAAGGTTACTGAGATCTAAACTTTTAAAACATTTTGAAAGGTTTAAATATTCCTTGTGTTATCATTAATAGTATTAACTCATAGCATTCATAGCAGCCTACATTTTATGTTATCTAGAGGAACAACAGGACAGCTAAAAATTAAGTCAATTACAGCTGTATCTCATGCACAACTAAAGAATTCGCAAAAAAACTTTTTCTGACATGTTCAATTTCAGACAATTGAAAAATTTCTAATAGACAAAAATAAATGACTTACATATCACTAAACTGTATTTATTAAAGCATGTGGATTTTTCAAAGAGGATCATTATGTGTCATCAAAATCTTATTTAACATTGTACTTCAAACAGAACAGGAAACACCGGATCTACTTAATTAGGAACAATCGTAAACTCATTATATTTCTAAAGTGACAAAAAGAATGCTAAGAATGTGTATTGTTGCAAATTTAGCCTTTGGTTGACAAAGTGTAAATACACACATTAAAGTTCTATTTCTGCATTTCTTTATTATATATAATTTGTTATAATTTACCGAATTTTTGCTAGTAGATTTATAACAATAAAAGAATGCAGACAATTTAGACTCAACAGTTAGAACATGCATGCAGACGTCAAACTTATTTATTAAATAGTTATAAAATTATTCAAATAGATTTGTTGAAAGGGGGATAACTCTACATTTAACATTGTTCCTACGCAAGTATTGTATCAGGATAATTAATACATTATTCCAGAAATATTCCCACTTGTCAAGCATGTCAGTCCTAGCAGGTATACTGACTGGTGTATACAGTCCTGTATGAATATCAGGAATGAAATTATTATCCACTACAAAACTAAGTAATGTTATAGTCTGTTAAATAACTCCAAAAATTTATAAAAATGTAAAAATTGCTATCACAATAAATATAAATGCAACCTCAAACTCCCATGACATGTTTTCTTATAATATTGGTATGATTATTATAATGAAGTGTTACTGTCCCCTTATGACAGTCAGTGCATACACCATTGTCGTATTCATAAATTAACATCTTTGAATGTCATTATTTTTGGGGTAATTTTTTTTAGGTTTATTGTTTTGTTTCTGAGAAGATTTTGTATTCAGAGGACACAAAACCCTTTCATCTCCTAATTTCTAAATAATATAAAACAGGCTAGTCCTAATTTATTTCTCTCTAAATTTTTCTTTCACATCATTCCAATGCCAACATATACACAAATAACTAATGATTTCTTCACATAAAGAGGTCTATGTCAAGTGTTTTTGTTGTCAAGCAGGACTATTTTTGTGAGGTAGAATTGATATACATGTATTGATGCATTTAATGAATAACCCAAATATTCACACCAAGACTATGGCATATATGTATATTTCCTTCAAGTGTCAGGGTAACATAACTTACTACTATTGCATTGCTGTATAATTTCAATCGGTACTATTTTATCTCTGATGTTTTTCTCTATTAAACCTATGTGAGTGATTTAGAGCTTTACATATTGAATAGAGACACAAGTCTATTGTTGAAGACTGTATGTTGACCACCAGATGCCGTTGCTGTCTCCTTTCTTATTCATATAAGATACTTGTTTTCCTTTTTAACAACCTACCCATAATTTATTATTTTTTCCTGAGATTATGTCCCTATTGTCAGATGTATCATCACTACTTGACTGTCGTCTCATTTCCATGTGTTGTTGAGCTTTTTCAGAAAATGGCGTAGGTGTTGCTATCTCTTGCAGTCGTTGTTGAAACATTTTCTGAGCATGTTCCTGGTATTCTTGATACTTTTGTTTCTGTTCGACAAGTTGTTTCTCAATGAGTTCGTTAAATGTTGGTTGTTTAACCCGCTGTTGTGCATATGCCATTTTAAATGCATTACCAATCAAAGTGTTTAGTTCTTCTGCCTGTAAAATATATACATAAAATTTTAAATTAGATAAAAATAAAAGTCCATGTGAGCAGTGAAGGGTAATTATATAAAGACTGCATTCATTTTGCAGTGGGAACTAAAAAATAAACATTGCATTGGACAAATGTTGGAAGGCAATACTATGAATTGGTTCAACCACAAATTATGGACAAAGGAAGATAACTCATATTTAAATATTACTTTAACAATGACATCATTGATATTTTAGAACAAATACAAGATTCATGCACCATGTACAATTTAGGTACTTTTACACATAAACCACATTTTGCAACTTGAATATCTGAGTATAGGATATATAGAGTGTTGTGATCAATGCACTTTGTTTTGTTTATCTCAAAAGTAGGGATACAGTCTGGTAAATTGAAAACAGTCAAGCCAGCCACATCACATAAGGGTTTTGACTGCATGAATGCAATCCTAACCCCACAAACTAAGTCTTCTTTTCACATATTTCTTCTACATTGTGACAGTAACCAAACACAATCCACTTACTACCACATATATAAGACAATCAGAGTGCCAGTGAACAGGGTACAGGTGAACCACGAATTTAAATGTTCAACAAATGACAAATTTTCTATAGGCTTGTTCACATGCTTAGGCAATACCACAAAATTAAATGTCTGGTTACGAACATGTTAGTTTTCCCTAATCCATGAAAATTGGTACCCATGAAAATAAATGAATCCACAGTAAGCAATATTTTGAATAGGAGTTATCTTATTTTATCTATAATAATTATTGTAGTTTAACTTCACAAGTATGGTTGAACACATACACATTAATTTGCAACTTCAATGTCCAAGTATGTATTATTTTAATTGCTTAACAAAGACGTAATTAAGATCTAAAGAATGTTCACCACACTGCACTATGTTGTTTGAACTCTCAAGGGTAGAGGTCTAAATGATATAGCTATAATTAGCCAGTGACATTATAGAGTTTGGAATGCACTTCAAGCAAACCTTACTCCCCCAAAAAAGTATTTCTACATTTTAAAAGGTTCCTGCAACTCTTTTCACAATAATAGATTTCTGGGTGAAATCTTTAAAGTCATGCAGATACACAATACAACTTACAATCAACTTTAATTGTCAGATTTGTTGGTCAAGAGAGTCACAGATCTACCAAGATTTTAAAAGAAGGACAATAACTTTATGCATAATTATTATGTCTAAAAATTGCTGAAAATCTTTAAGTTTTGTAATGTGGTGTGCTAACTTTGGTTCAACAGTTCTTACTAAACAATTTTGAAAAAAATACATTATAAAATCCCCTGGTCAGTAACCAGTGAAATTATAGGACATTCTATAAAAATGTCTACAACAGGAAAGAGGCATTTAACAAAGGACTTTAGAAGTGTTTAAAATTTAAGCAAACTATAATGTACAAAAACAAATGTACTATAAACTAGCCCAACATTAATGGCTGATCATGCAAATATTGTTGTAACATTAATTCTGATTGGACAACATTGCATGACATCAGTTCCAAAATATTTAATGACAGCGAGGTTTATGTGAAAATTAGAATTAACTTTATTAGTTTTATAGCTGCTTTGAAACTGAGATACTACAGTATTGTACTTCAATATCTAAAAGCATCAATTTATTATTTGAGAGTTCCTAATAAATCAGTCTAAGTTTGCAAAATACTTTCATACAATGCAATTTGTATTTCCTAAGTATTTATTTCCTTTGTCTAATGTTTTTTTTTAATAAAATGAAAAAGGCAAAAAAGTCCTTTGTACTTATTACAAAATAAGATAAGTTTCTAATTAACCGACCGACCGACTTAAAGCATTGAGTTGTTGTGTAGGATGTAACACCCCCAATTAACTAACCTATGTACGAAGTATGATAGTCATATACATTTCTGTTGGTTCTGAGAAGATCCCCACCAATTTGTTTTACATGATGTGCATGTGAACAGACAATTAAATCTGTTTTACCCTAACATAATGACATGTGTCTCATATTGATCTTACAACTAAATGAAATTTTAAGTGATTTAATAGATTCTACTCTTTGTTTAATTGATTCTTAAGTCATTTAAAGACTAAAGATTTCACATTAAGAAACACTTAACTTTTAATTACTAAACATTCCTTGGATGTACAAAATATTTGGTCAAATAAATGTGGAAATTGATTGTTTTTACACTTTTGATATTTGGCTTTATGCATCAAGCAAGCAGTGTCTGGGTATTCCCACAGTTCCTTATAATCAAGTTTTAATTTCCCATAATTTCCTGGAGCAGATAGATAAATATATATATATATATTTCTCTAATTCTTCATCAATTTATCCCTTTCTGCACCCATTGTATAAAAAAAATTTAATCAACGTGTGGTTCGTTTGATCTCAGTTCTTCATTGGTTAAAATCCGATTATGACGTCGAATTTTCTTGCTTTCCTCTGGATTTCCTATTGTGACGGCATGAAAAAAGGCGACCATGCCTGATGACGTCACATAGAAAGAACACATCTTTTTGCAGATCATTCAAAAAGAAGGAATAAGTTTGCCTGCATATTGTTTGAAAATCATTAGAGAAACAGATTCCACCACCAAATCTCGTGTAATACGATATTTATCCACTCTCGACAGTTAAATTTTAAATATTTAAAACGCTCGGCGAGCCTCGCGTTTTAAATTTGAAAATTTAACTGTCTCGAGTGGATAAATATCGTATCACGATGCAGTGGTAGAATCTATATATATAATACTTATCAGAACATATCAAGCTGAAAACTTATATTTCCATCTTCTGGGAATATGTAACAAGATCTAAGTTGTAAATCTTTCCTTGTTGATATGCCAGCACCCACCACCATACAATTCATATATTTCTCATATTATTACAGGATTGCAAGAAACATATACATTTCTTTGGTTAATTTACAGTATAATGAATTAATTTGTTTCCTGCATGTTACATAAGAGATCTTCAAAACATTCCTTTCATTTTAATTAAAAATCTTCATTATTTTGTTTAATACAGAAATTTATTAATGCTCCAAATACTGGAAAGTAAAGAAAATTGCCCAAAATATTGGGAATATAATCAGTGGGGGTCCAAGGGGGCATACAGGTCACCCTCTCCCCACCCTTTTGATTGCCAAAACTTTTTTAAATATGTTTTACCTGATAAATATAGATTTTTAGTATATAATAAGCAAAAAAATATTTCGCCACAATTCGCTCACCACTATGATCTTCAATTATTGCAAATTATACCCTCTTTTACAAAAATCCTGTCCCTGTCCCTGATCTTTAATGGACAGTAAACATTTGTTCTACAGTTGAAGGTTTATATCATATTTAATCTGTTGTAGAAATAATAACAAGACTGACTACAAGTATGCAGACACGTTTATTTGGCCTTTTTAACTTTTGTGATTCAAGCATCACAGATGAGAATCTTTTATACACAAAACACCCATCTGGCATACAAAATGTTAAGCCTGGTATTTATGATGAGTTTATTTCAAACATGTACAATAACAAAGCAGTATGGTAGATCAAAGTAATGTGTTACATTATCTAATATATATATAAGTACTATATATGTACACTTTAAAGCATTCTGTGGAATGATCTACTTGGCAATATTATCAGAACTTACTTTTTTCTTTATTTATATTTCCTTCTTATCAAACTCCAAATTCCATTCAACTAAACACTTTATCACTTACAAAAATAGACCTTTACAATCTAATATTTACTTTTTCTCTTTTCAAAAATAAATGAATAATTTCTACATTATCTGGATAAACCATCATAGCTTGATTAATCTTTAAATAAATATTAGATATAAATTATAATTCATTGCTTAATCAACCTTTCCTCTATAAACATATTTGTGGGACAAATCACTGTGATAGAGATCAAGTTATTCATTTTATTTTTTAAAATTTTTGTTATTTGTATTTCACTTATAGAATTAAATCTCTCTACAATGCATGTTATTCCTAATCCATTGTCTGAACGAGTTTATCTCCCTTTATTGAGGGTGACTGGGGAAAAGAAATATGGTCACTTTGGTCTCCTTCTGACATTAAAACCCTTGCCAAAGTGGGGTGTCTTCTGTTCTGTGCTGGATGTACAAGTACAGAGCCACGTCTGGTCGGAATGGGGACGTTAAATCTGATGCCTCCTGTAAAGAGAGTGTCAAACTCTCTGCATGTTAAGAACCCTTGCAACAACTGTTTGAGGGGTCTGTAGGTGGCCTGTTGCAAGACATAATTTCTGTCCCTATCTAATATATCCTTATTTTCTTTAGTTGCAGTCCAAATTTCCCTGACTTTCATCCCGGACGGCCTCTAATACAGGACCTACCTTTTGCATTTATTTATTCTTGTCCTGAAAATGCATGAAATATTTTCCACTGGACGTTAAACAAGACACAATCAATCATCATTATTGGCAGCAATATTTACAAACAACAGACAAATGTAAACATTGACATTGAATTCTAAACAATGCATATATTTTATAGCATTTTAATAAAGACTCACCACAAACTGTTCCTGCAAAAAGTCAAATCCACCAAAATTGTTTCAAATTGACAATTAATTCACCTGTAACTTCCTGTGCAGGTAAACTTTACAGGTAAAACTGGGTATGATAAATGACATATGATATAGGTAAAACATTATTTTATGTCAAAAAAATTGTGTGCATACTGTGTCATGCTGAGAGTTATTATGGTGGATCAGACAGAATAGGAGGTTGGAATGTAATTAATCCATAGACTGTATGGTATATACACCTGTATTGGGTGTATTTGTGACCATGCTAAGTCAGCTATGTATCAAGATTTTTTCATTAAGTCTAATGTATTGCAGGTGGGTATTAGACGAATTTTAATTTCATGTTAATAAAAACTAGAGGCTCTAAAGAGCCTGTGTCGCTCACCTTGGTCTATGTGCATATTAAACAAAGGACACAGATGGATTCATGACAAAATTG